TCCATATCCATCTGTTAAACTGTTCATTCTCCTCTTCTTCAGAGACATCTAAAGAGGGAGCAGACACATTCTTGTGTCTTGGTACTCAGTGTATTTCTGTGTGAAGGGGGAGAGAATTAAATGTGTCTTAAAAAAAATTTCTCTTCTGCTCCTTAAACCTGCCCCTTTCCCTGTGTCTTGTGCTCTGCAGGTCAGATGTACCAGCAGTACCCACAGCAGGCGGGCTACGGCACCCAGCAGCCGCCGGCGCCGGCACAGCCGCCGCAGCAGTACGGTGTCCAGTATTCAGGTGAGCGCGTGTCCAGGGGGCGCTGGCTCGTGGTTTTGAGCAGTTTCTAGACTCATTAAATTTTAATTCTTTCCTCTTAATCCCTTGATTTGCAATACTTTGCATTGTTATATTAGCTACGAAGTATTTATTAGGGAAAATCATTTATTTATTAAAATATTTTGCATAAATATTTTATTGTAAATCACCATTTCAGTTTTCCAGTGGGCAAGTAAAACTTACAGTCATAGTAGGTGATTCTGTAATAACTTGTAGTATAAAACACAAAGCTATCTCCTCCTGTACCTCCTGGGTGATTTAAAACTACAAAAGTGCAGTATTTTTTCCTCCATTATATGTGATACATAATCGCAGTGTACTCTTAGTACCTGTAAAACTATTAACAGTTCCCTCATACATGGAAAGAGGCGATCTTATAAAATAAGAACCAAATTGAGCTACTTAGGTTTTTAAATCTCCCAAAAGTATGTAGGAATACCAAAAACAGGCCCTAAAAGTAGAATTGTGTGAAACATTTCAGGCAACTAAGAACATAAAAATCTCTTCAGTGTAGCTTTGAATAGTGTGGTTATAATTCAGGTAATTTTTACATTTGTTGTATCTGAGAATTTGTGTTCAACTCTTGTTTTACAGCCAAAGATTTAAGTATCAAAATTATAAATTTCAAAAAATTAAATTTTAAAAAAATTAAAGGATTAATTTTACAATACAAAAATGAGAAAAACAGGCAGTAAATACATGGAGGGAGAAGTCAGCCTCATTAGCAGTCCCTTTTTCAGGTACAGAAAGATTAAGCAGCTTACCTGGAGTCAATACATCATAGTTAGTAAGAGCCATCCCTGGAGCCTAGGCATAAATCTAGAGCGTTAGTTTAAAGAGTTTTGTACACATTACCTCATTTATATAGATATTAACTTAGGTATCATCTGAGATTAACCTTCATGCAGTAGACAGCTGCCATCAGTGACTCTAAGAAACTCCACTCAAAAAAGCCTAATTGTTTTACTCAAAAAATGACAGGGGACAACTTCTTAAAGCAAGAATATTCTGTTTTTTTCTTACTCTGCTTCAAACTCGCTGTGTGAAAACGTCACCCCTGGGGTTAAAAGTTTGAGACCTTGCGGCTCCCAAAGCCTAGAATTACTTACTGTCTAGTCCTTTACAGAAAAATGTTTCTTGTCCCCTGAATTAGACCATTAAATTCTATCATTGGAGTTTAACATATTTTGACACATAGAGCAGCTTTTATTTGGATTGTATTTCCGTAGAGTGATTTAACCTATAGTGGGCTAGTTTTTAATTATATTAAATAGGTGGACTGAATTAAACTTGGACTGTGATATTGGGGGAAGGTTATTTTTAGGATGTAGTCCTTTAAACAGAAATTAGTGTTACAAATTATATAATTTGTGGAAATAATAGAGTGGAACAGACCTAGTTATCTAATACAGGGGATTTTAGCCTTCACTGTGCCTCAGAATCACCTGGAGAGGTGTTTTTGAAATTTACAGGGGCCTCTCAGAGATCTTGTTTCGTTTGGTTGGGGGTGGGACTCAGGCTTTGATATTTTAAAAGCATCACAAATCATTCTAAACTGCAGCCAGGGTGGGGACCACTGATCCTGTCCCACCCATTCATTTTCTACCTGAGGCACAAGGGTTTATGGAGTTGCGATGCATTGAAGCCACTTAGTGGGGGAGCTAGACCAGAACCCAGTACACTTGACTTCGCAGTAAATTGCTTACCTCTGTCATTCTGTGTTCTCCATTCTAGACCAGGGGTTGGCAGGCTTTCCTGCAAACATAAAATGCTACGTAGTAAATATCTTAGGCTTTGTGGACTGTATGACTCCTTGTCTTGTACTATTTACTTATTCAGAAAACCACAGAATTTCCATTTTTTTTTTGCCATTTCTGTGTTCTTCACCAAAGTTACTCATTGATTTTGTTTTCCAAGGGAGGGCATGGTGGTGGGAGGGAGACTATATACATAATAAATAGAGGTATTGCCATATTATGGTCAAAGACTTGTAGGTTGCTAATGAAACAGCATCTTAGGCCCTTAGGTTATTCCCTTTCCTGAGAAATAAAGGATACGGTTGTCCCCAGATTCTCTTAAAAAGGCAGTTTAGATTTCATTTGCCAGGATGAAAAGACAGCTTTTTTTTGCTCACAATCTTAAGTTGAACAGACATTTTCAATATAAAAGCTGAGTCCTGTTTTTCCAAAAACTTACAATAAAAAAAAAATTACGTAGAAGACAGGAGAAGTTGTATGACTTTCAAGGTTTTATCATGAATTGACATTAGTTCAGTATTTGGATACTACTGTGAGTAAAATGCATTAGATATATGAATTACTAACAAAAAATTAAGCTTGCTTATAATGATTTCAGTTAGGTCATCACTGAGTAAAATTTAGTTCTTTTCAAATTATTATCTTTGTATTTCTGATCCTGCTAGTCCTATTAACTTGAATTTGGGAGATATGGAAATAGTCAACTAAATACTCTGCTTGGAGACTGTAAGTGGTGGTGGTAACACTGGACCATGTTTGACACTCTGCTGGTTTGGCAGTTTCCCTCTGTGACCTTTTCCAGTTTTGTTCATGGACTATGTCAAAAAGATTTCTTTCATGAGTAAATTTTGAACCCAGGTTCAAGGTGAGTTCAGAATATACTCAAATTCATTCAATCCTTTTTATTTTTTTTAATGCAGGGTTGTACATATTTTAATAATTTTCTTATGTATCTGGTATTTAATGCTGACAGGATTCCAGTCAATGGAGAGGTTTCATTGCAAGTAGCTGCAGGTGTGTTTCATGGTAGAGATAAAAGTTTTTAGTGAAGCAGACTTTTTCTTTTAAAAAAAATTTACATCCTAGTAAATAATGAATATAGATGTTGATTTTTGTGGGTCAATATGATATGCTTTCTGTGTGTTATGTTGTTACTGCTAAACCAGAATTTGGAATTGTAAAGGCAAAAACATCAGATACCAAATCTAAAAGGAAGATTTTAAGGATTGTGAAAATGAGCATTTAATGCTTATTCTTAAATGGCTTAGTTCTTATACAGTGACTAAACCTTAAAGCATCTCATTAGTACAGTAAGATGTCTCTGTTGCACCGCTGTTTCATTTAAAAATACTCATTCTCTATAATGTGTTTTTATTTGGTACTGTTATTAAATAGGCCTCCCCTCAAAACAAGGTTAATGACTAGCCTTTGCATTAATTCCTACATTTATCATTTGAATATCTACTCTATACTGGGAGTTACTCCAGAACACGAATTTGCTGTCAGGGATTATATAGTCTAGAAGGAGTTGAAGTAGAAGAAATATGTAAATAATGGTTTTAATTTAAGATTAGAGGGTTTAAAGAATTGTATAGAAAGTGCTTCTTTTATACTATGTGGTCTTGAAATAGTATTAAATGATGGAATCTACCTACTCTGGTTGTTACATAAATACTTAGGATTAAGTTTGTTAATTTCTCATCATTTTTGGTCCGTAGCAGTAAGACTGATTCTCTGGAAAACATTCACCAAAAGAAAGAATAAAATATGTATGTTTTACCTTTTCAGCAGGCTATAGTCAGCAGACTGGACCCCAACAACCTCAGCAGTTCCAGGGATACGGCCAGCAGCCAACTTCGCAGGCACCGGCTCCTGCCTTTTCCGGTCAGCCGCAGCAGATGCCTGCTCACCCGCCACAGCAGTACCAGGCGAGCAGTTACCCGCCACAGACCTACAGTGCCCAGACTTCTCAGCCTGCTAATTATACTGTGGCCCCTGCCTCACAGCCCGGAATGGCTCCAAGCCAGACTGGGGCCTATCAACCAAGACCAGGTTTTACTCCACCTCCTGGAAGTACCATGACCCCTCTTCCAAGTGGGCCTAACCCTTATGCGCGTAACCGGCCTCCCTTTGGTCAGGGCTACACCCAGCCTGGACCAGGGTATCGGTAAAGAGGCTCAGTTACGCTGATGAATGTAGCTGCTAGCTGTTTGCCTCCCAAAAGACTCCAGTACTGCAATTTTAATTTGTATTGAAGTTCAGAAATTTAAAAAGCATTTTTTATGATGTTGCTGTTAATTGAAAGTATAATTTGCTGGGAAAAAAAAAAGACCAAAATGAAAGTTTTTTTCCTCCCCTGCTTAAAAGTGTAGCAGCTTCCTAGTTATTATGGAACACTACTCTTACATGTGTGTCAAGTGATTGACTTTCTCGCTTGCCTTGTCCAGAGGATACTAAAATGCTAGGTTGAAGTTTAGCCATCTTACTTGGCTTTTTACTATTAACATGATATACTAAAGTAGATTCATTTGAGAAGACTAGATACTATGTATAAAATGTAACATTGATGATAGGTTAATAAAAGTGATTGAATCCATTAGTGGTCTTGTAATTTAATTTAGTCATTGACACTATATATACATGAGAAAAAAAGGCAAGAAACAGAAATCCTTATTGATGTTTTGGTCTTAAAATGAAATATAGACATTTTAACTTATAGTTTTATATTCAGAGAAGTACAGTGCTGTTTGGTTTTGTCCTGACTTAGGCTTAGAACAATGAAACTTTAAAACAGATTTCAAAAAAGATAGATAGTTTAGCATTATATAAAAACCCAATAGATTCAGTATTAAAAGGTTTGGTAGACCCCAAATAATTTGAGTTTCCTTATAAAGATGAATCATTCAGAATCCATCTTAAAAATAAAAAGTGCATCTCTTTATTGCAGAGGTTTTACTTGTTTGGAAAATATAAAATGTAGTATTGATAAAATTGAAGCACGTGGAAAGGTAAGTACTGAAAGGTTCTTAAAGAATGAGGGCAACAATGCAGCTTCCCTGCCTCTCTCCAAATGAAGGAAAACAGTACTTTAAATAAAAATGAGATCTTCATACAGATTGAGTTAGCATTATGAAAACCACCTTTGATACATTCATTGCTGAAAGATCTGTGTAAAAAAAGCCTGTAAAATGGCAGGGATCGCATCACTCCTTATCCTTGTGTGCTTAGACTTTACAGCCAGCTTCCGTATACAGCTTGATTAGAATGATGTTAAAAACGGTATGAGTGCAACTGCTTAAACGGACAGTTTGACAAAGAACATTCAGACACTAACATTTAAGGGCAGAGAAAGAACAAAATATGTATCTTGAAATGATATATCAGATTCTCAATTCCATTTTCAGCTGAAATAAAATTTACTGATTCAAACAGTCTTTTCAGTAATTTGCAAATATTTAAGGAAGTGTATATTAGCATGAATAGGTAACTATTTAAATGCTTCAGAAAAGCTGTTCAGCTGTTGCTAAAGAGTTGAAGTTTAAATAAACGTGAATATTAAGACTTTCCCCACCCCACAGATATATATGATGAAGATAATTTGCTCTAATAAGTTAAACCAAGTAGAGATTTATGGAATTAACTCACCAGTGGGAAGAATACACAATAAAAGTAAATTTTTTTAAAAAGTATATTAGTTTTTGATGTTAATTTTGTTATAAAAGTATCTTAAAACATCATTACAACAGTGTGATAAATAATAAACAAATGATCTCTTAAAATACCATGAACAGGGAGCCAGCTTCCCCAAAATGTTATTCTGTTAATATCTTGCTTTCTTAAAATGACTTTGTAAAACCTGATAAATATTCTTAGCAATCTTTCTAATAAACATCTAATATTGCTATTAATTAGATTTTAAACTTTTATACATAGTAAACATAAGAGCTTTAAATGCATGTGACACATACCACATACCATACTGTTTCCAATTATTTTTGGCCATGATGAGACAGAAGGCACTTTTGAACATCACTGCAGCATCTACCATTTTCCAGGAATTGTGGTCCCACATTCATACCACTGGACATAATTGATTTGAGTGTGACCACCAATTTCTCCAAATTGGACAGGTTCCTGGCGAACTGCTCTGAAATAGCCTATGAGAGAAAATAATTAATTTTAATAGCTGCTATGTTGTTTTTGTCCTCACTGCTCACAGATGGAAGGGTGCCCGAAGGTTACTCTAGGTGAAGCGGGGTATTTTGGAAAATGGCTAACAACCAAGGCATGGTGTCTTTCTTGATAGTAACGGCTGGCTAAACATCAGGGGCGCGTGGAACTCCGTGACACCTGCCTTACTTAGTAAGTTAGGTAGGGTAGGATGGTTGGTGGTATTGGAGAGTCAAAGCTGAGAAGGGGCAGGAGTTGGAAGGGTTTCGTGTTTTGTTTGCGTGTCACTGACGTGGTTCAGTACACGCCGTCTTATGTGAAAGTGTACTTTCTGCACATCCCTGCACAGTGATGGTCTGTGAAGAAGTCATCTGGGTGAAAGCATGTTCTAAAGTGTTAGGAAACAAAAGAAGGATAGTTCTCAGATTGCTGAATTTCTAAGAATTCAACTTTGGGGAAAGCTTCCTTCAAGGACCCTACACTGAATGATTAAAAATTTAGCTGTGAATGTAAAATGTTACGGAAATAGAGACAATGACAGTATAGTGGCTCCAGAACATCCAGTTCCTGGGAGGCTGCAGCAGTCTGACCTTTCGTTAATGAGGTCACAGATCTCACCAAGTCATCTTTTACTATGTGCCAGTGCACAAAATGCATTGCTGAAAAGACTAGTCAGATAATTTTAAGTATTTAACAAACCCCTCTTGGTAGTTCCTGAGTAATATGGCATATTTAATTTACCTTCTACCCTGCCTGGACAAGGATTAAATTAATTTTCAGTCTTCTCAATCCTCATTAAGCAGCTTGGGGCTAATGTGTCTTTAGCAAGTTACAGTAGTCATTTCTCAGCAGAATTGTTCTATTAATTATACTTACATAATTATTAATAAGGCAAATAATACCTTTTCCCATCTATGGTAGTAATAAAGTCTTCTTTAAAAGTTTTTAAAGGAATAAAAAAAGAACCTGCCTGTGTGCTCTGTATGACAAAAACCATAAAGGTAACAATACACGAGTGATTAAAGTTTGGGAAATGCTGCTCTTTTATAGCTGTTCTTGCAAATTCAGGTTTTCCTAAGGTAGGATGCATTCATAAATGCCTGAGTGTAATTTCCCGAAAGGCTCTAAGGAATAGAGTTAAGGAATGGGAGGAAGGTTGAGAAACTTCTACTGAAGTCTTCATATTAAGGTCTTACATGGAAGGTCTTTCCTAGGCAGATCATTAGAGCAGTAGTACTACAGAGTTATTTTTAAAGTGATAGCTCTCCTCAGCTTGAATGCTCTGGGGGCGGATTTGTGAAAGCCTCATGTTTATGAGGCGGCTCAAAAAACGTACCTTCCTTGGTGGGTAACTGGTCAGAAGAGAGTTGCTGTCCTGTGCGTCCATCTAAAAACGAGTCCACAAACTGGCAGTGATCTTCTCCATGGCCCCTCTGATCGCCTATGTTATAGAATTTTCCTGAAGAACCAAAATTAAAGGGATCATAAAGTATTCCTCCCTTTGAGATGGGACAACTCTGAAAGAATCAAATTGCTTCAAATAATGCACCTTCCCTGTTCTTGTGCTTTTTCCTTTCACCCTAGTTCAAGCCACCAGTGTGCCTTGACTGAACCTTAGACTCATCTCCATAATCACCTCCCAGCTGGCATCCTTGCTTTCACTCTTGCCTTTCCCTATCTTTCCTCCCCTTTTCCTCCCAGAGATTAGTCATCTTTTAAAAATGCAACTCAGGTCACGTTACTCCCCCTCCATCACCTCTCCAGCAGTCTTCTGTTGTACTCAGAACAAAACCCAGAGTCCTGACCTGGCTTCAAAGCTCCATGTGATTTCACGCCTGCCTGAGCGTCCCCTGCCCAAGCCTCGGCCACACTGGCGGGACCACCTGGGCACCCTCTGCCGCAGGCCTTGGCCTTTCTCTTCCTGCTGCCTCTGCTCTTTATCCCTCAGCCTTTGCTTGGTTCCTTCTCATAGTTTTCTTCCCAGCACAAGTGTTACCTTTTTAGGGAGGCTTTTCCTAACCATTCTGACTAGAGGAGCTTTCATTCAGCCATTCTCTCTCACCCTTTTTGCCTTCAAAGCACTAGATGAAATTCTAATTTACGTATTCGCTGCCAGTCTCTCCCCACTAGACTAAGCTACAAAGAGCAGGAATGTGTCTTGTTTCTTGCTTTGTCCTCAGTACCTAAAGCAATGTCTGAACAAAGCAGATGAATTTGTTGAATGACTGAACAAATGCCTGCCTTTCTACATTGGGGCCAGCCTTACTTCTTTTAAATTTTTACTGAATGTCTATAGAAGAGAAAATATTAACCCACTCAGTCTGGAGCAAGGGTGGATAGCCCTTCTGGCCCAATGTTCTAATCTTGCTTTTGTCTCTGACAGGATTAGAATCTTAAATACGTCCTATTCCTTCCATGATCATTGTTAGATACAGGCATTAGCAGTAAGCTTTTTATCCTTGGTTGGCTGTAACAAAATTGAGCTCAAGTGTGGCTAGTTTCTCTACATTCAAGTTTGCCGTGATGGCACTGTTTCAATTGTGTTTTCATTATTTTCCTGCTAATAGCATGTTTCAAATCCTAAGATTCCAATAACATCTTGCTGGAAAAAAAAGTCTGTGTTTACATCACACCCAGTGTCGAACTGTCCATAGAAAAGACCAGGCTACACAATGCTGCAAAGCAGTCCCTGAAGGACCAGGCTCACAGCACTGGTGGCCCTGCTTACCTGTGAGGGAGTCGCTCAGGTAAATCTTGTATCTAAGGGAGTTGCACAGCTGCACCCCCACAAACTTTTTATACCATGTCCTTTTGACATACTGTTTGCCCTTACATTCTGAGTAAGAGTCTGAATTAAAGGGTCTTTCGGTCCAGATGGCATCTCTTCCTGCTGTAAAAGGAAAACACATGGTCTGAGTTAAGTATCTGACTTTGGGTACTGAAGAGCTGTCTTAAAAGCTTTTAAAAAAAAGCAGTTCGCAAAGTTCATTGTCAGCTTGCCCATACCTGATTCTCTCTAAAGCTAAATATCGGGGCCGAAGATTTAGGAATTTTAACATGTGATCAACACGTAACCCCTCCATTAAGTTTCTGTCAATAGTGAGGTAAATCTTGGAGCAGCACATGTCAATGTTAAATAGCCCCTGACTTGCTAGATGTAGACAGCATCCTTTTAGGAGCAAATGTAGGTTTCTTTTTTGTAGCATATTATACAATTTAAGCAGTTGCCTTAATGTGACCTACTAAAAGTGGAAATGGTGGTGCTATATCTTGACTTATTAAACAGAATTTTAAGCTGATCTGTTACATAAATGAAAAGCAGGTTTCAAAATATTCAGCTTGTTCCTGAAACAACATAGGCTCTCAGTGTTACTGAGTGTTTTAGGTAAATGCTCACACCTGATTGATATTCTAAGAAGACTAAGTGGACTAAAACATCATGACTAAAATTCTGCCATGCCTGTTTAGTTGACTCATTGCAGTCAAGCATGTAGTCGTGTTCTCATTGAGACAGGTACTTACCAGAAACTGGCTCGCTCACTCTTGGGTCGGCTGAGGAGAAATAGCAAACACAAAAGTCAGATGTTATTAGGTGAGCCAGTCCGTGTTCCAGTGGGATAGTGAAGGAACTGGGCGCTTACAGTTGCTAAGAAATCTTGCAAAATAGTACACTCTTGCTAAAGTCTGAGCTTGAAAATTGTGTAATTTTGTTTTGGGAATTGTTCTCCATTGGAGAATTTCCTCTGCCAAGTACTCAGATGTATCTTTCTGTGATTTGAGTAGTTAAGAGTCTGTCTTGCTGTTCTAGATTTTACTTTCATTTAAAATTCTTCCTCTTTTAGTTTCATACAAAAACCACTGATGCTAAAATCACCAAGATGGAGTAGAGACGTATCTTACTAAGGAGTTGGAGCATAGGCCAAATTAAAAAAATTTCATAGCTGTTTATCATAAAAACTATCAAATGAATTCCCTTTCTAGATACTATGGCTCAGCAGGTCTGATACTTTGATTCTAGGCATAGAGAGGAGTTCATGATTTTTGAGTATAGACTGACTCCATGATTTTTTCTTTTAAACTGATATCCCTTTTTTTCTGACATCAAGATAAATGAGGAAAAAAATAAGTGGTGTTTCCTTGAAAGTACCTTCATCAGTTTGCTTTTTCAAATGGATGGTTTTTGAAACTCAAGAAGCACTTTACCCAGTGGTAAAGCTGGGTTTCAAACAGGCTGTGCAAACCAGTGTGGCCCTTTATGTCCTCGCTGGGGGTTACTGTTGATGCGGTTACCTGATTCAGTGCTGAATGACACTGTGTTGCTGGCGGGGCCTTCACCAAGTGGGTTTTTGGGTTTCACCTGGAATTCGTAGCTGTTTAGGGGGGGAAAAAAAGTAACATTGTCTTCAGGGGTAGGAAACAGCATGTCCTTGTTATACTGACATTTCTCCTGATTCCACCTTGAAACCATCATGATGGGGAACGGACGTATGTCCTAGAAGGGGCTTCAGGAAAGAAAAATTTCTTTAATTTTACTTTCCAAACAGCTTCTCTAATTGTTTTCTAGAAGAAAAGGGTTAGGTTAATAAAAAAAAAGATAGTTGTCTTTTAAAAACTCTGAATTAGTAGAAATAACTGGGCAGACTGCTAATGGGACACACAGGAAAGAGGTATGTGGTGGGCCCAGGCCAACACCAGTGACAAGGGGCCTCCGTTTCCTTAAATGTTTCAGCTACTCCCTGGAAGCAAAGAATTGCAACAGTTCCTTTTTACTCATTATCCCAACCCTGGATATAGCCTTAGACTTAGGCAATGTTCCTTGTTGTGGGGTTTGAACTGCCTATGTCAGGATCACAAGATAGAGTTGCAGTGGGGAAAGTGTTTAAAACACAGCTCTCTTGCTCCATCCTAGCTACTGAATCAATTTTTGATCAGTGTTTACAAGTTCCAGGTCAGTATAGCACATTCCTGAGGTGAATCCTGTGCCCAATGACACTGGAGAACTACTAGACGAAGCTATGGAAGCAGTTGCACATGAGGATATTTTGTTGCAAGGAGTTCCCAGTCATCTCCTGAAACTCAAGTCTTCTGCGGATCACAGGACGCCACGATAGATCCACAGCAGAGGCACGGTAGTGCCACCTCATGAAGAGCTGGACACAAGGACACTCTTCTTTCCCTCTGTACACACAGAAAATGTGGAGATTCATATGGGCCAGGCCCTTAACCCTTTATGTTAAAAAACAAAACACAAAATGAGCCCAGATCCCTTGAAGTTATAAGGATGTTTGAGTCTATTCTTAAGAATTAATTATGCGCTAAATTGCTGTGCAACAGTTGACAAATTTCATCCATCAAATACGCAAGCAGAGCAAATCCTTTTAAATTCAAACAGTAAAGCTACAGTAAAGCTGTTTGCCTGAAACTGAGAGTTCCTTTCAGGAGCAGACTTAGCAGGAAAGTAATTTCGAATGTGAAACCAACTTGAGTCAGCTGATAATACTGTGAGTCTCAAATCTGGAAAAGGCTTCGGGGAGATAATTCCCCTTTTTGAGAAGTTTGTAACTGAGTAAGTGCAGAACACACAAAAGACAGAAACAAGTGAAAAACGGAAGGGCGATAGCTCTCAATTTGGTACGAAGGATACCAAGTGAGTAGTCACAGAACTTTCTGAGGCTCAGCAGTCAGAGTTTTGAATACTGAAGCAGCGTAGTAAGACAGTTCTAGAATCTCTAAGGAAGGCAGATTCCAGCATTACAATGGCAGCTACTTCCTGTGTTTACTATGTGTTTACTATGTATCAGACGCTACATGACACACAATAATAGCACACACCAAACCCCCAGAGTAGGGAGTGTCCTATTTTTTAGTTAAGAAAAATGAGGGTCTTAACCGTTATTCTATTACTGTCTTTGCTTTTCCAAACTTCCAAACTTTGTGATATGGGGATTTAAATGTGCAGGGTTTTTATAGTGAGAGACTGCACATCAAAGCATGTTGTAAACTAACCAACTGATAGAAACTGCCTTTATCCTTTGTATTAAGAGTCAGTATAAAACCACCCATGTGACTCATTTAAATAAACTGCACATACATGGGATACTTTGGCATAGAATATTTCCCACAGGTGTAGGTTCTAGCTAAGAAGCCTGAAAACCTTATAAAAAAGAAAAAAAAAATCACCCCACGATGGTGATCTGAAAATGGAAAAAAGAAATCACAGGCATCTGGACTTTGATTCAAGTAGGCAGTGCATTCCACATTCCAGGCCACTGCCCAAAAGCCCTGTGCTTTGGCCAAGTGTGATGGCTGAAATTATCTCCACGTCTTTTTATTTCAGTTATTTACACTTCAGCTTCATTTGTAGTACGGCCACAAACGTCAATAAACTACTTTTTCATGTTTTGGGGGGTTTTTGGCCACCATTTTATGACACTTGACAAGTTTGGAAGAAATCACTTTAAACTAAGTTTAATCAACAGCATGGAAATTAAAAGACACATGTTTTTGGCTGATTAGACAAAATATTTTCAAAGGAAAAAATCTTTTCCAAGAAGCACATTTTGTCGCACTGTGACACTATAGGTATAAGAGCGTAATAATGTCTCAGAGAAAGTACTGATTGCACATAGGAAATAAGCAAAGGATTCAAGCTATGCAAAAATTTCAGAGAGGACAAGACAGTTATTGAAAAATAAAAAGTACAGAATAAATAAAACTTTAGAAAGTTTGGAAGATAAAAATTAAGGAAATTTTAAAAGTACTGCAACAAAAAGAGACGAAAAATGAGAAAGAATAAGGAAATTAGTGGATTATTTCAGGGAACACAATACTTAACTAGTAGGCTCTAGGGGAGGGTGTAGCTCAGTGGTAGAGCACGCACTTAGTATGCACGAGGTCCTGGGTTCAATCCCCAGTACCTCCATTAAATAAATAAACCTGATAACAGCCTCCCCCCACCTGAAAAAAAAACAAAAAACAAAAAAATACCCTAGTAGGTTCTAGAAGAGAGAGGAGGGGAAAAGGAGGGTAGAACATTATCCTAGAAAGTTTTTAAGTAATTTCCCAGAATCGAAAGAGATGGGTTTCCAGGAAAAGGCTTAATGTTTGTCCAGCAAAATGAGAAAAGAAAAAAGACAAGCACAAGTTGGAAAATTTCAGAGTACTGCGATAAAGACAAGATCTTTAAAATATTCTGAGAAAACAATAGGTCCCACTCAAAGGATTCAGAGTCAGAATGACAGGTGGCATCTTAGCTCTGGAAGTTAGAAAACAACGGAACAATGCCTTCAAGAGTCTCCATTTTATCCTAAAATATATGTGTGGCTGAGCAACAGTATCAGAGTAAAAGAAAGATATTTTCAGACACAAAAGGACTCAAAAATATTTTCTTCCATAACCTTTTCTCAGGATGTATTTCTCAAGAAATGCCAGAAAGCAAGGGAGTAAATAAACAAGGAAGACATGGGATGTAGGAATTAGAGGACTCAACACAGGAGAGAGGCAAATAATGATGGTGAGGGATTCCAGGAGATGTTGCCATAAACAAAGAAATACACATAACAAATACACAATTTGCGAATTTGACCATTTGGAGAAATGGTCAGTCTAAAACTACAGATTTAATTAACAGAAGAAATAGCTAAGATAATTGAAAATGAGAGAGGGTTGACTAAGATGGGGACACAGTATCTCCTCCTGCGCTCTCCTCCCACAGACACATCGACTGCACAGCTGAGGACAGTCAGCTGTACCCCACATATAATACCCCAACTTAACACTCCCACTTGAGGGACGGGTCCCCTAAACACCAAGCTCTGAAAGCCAGTAGGGCTTGTGTTTATGCGACGCATAAGGATATAGCAAATAAGCTGTACTTCCCAAGTGCACGAGCACCCACCATGGCCATGCCCCCAGGGCTTAGTGGAGAGAGAACATGTCTGTGCCCGTTTTTACAGCTTCCGTCTAAAGGGATGAGTCCCCATATCACCTGGCTCTGATAGCCAACAGGGCTTGCATTCATGAGTCCCAGAGCACCACAGTAAAGAAGCGGTTCTTAACTAGCTATCCCCCAGGGCTGCGCACAGAGGAAGCAGGCAAAAACGCCCATCTTCCATCTTTCTCTGAAAGGGATTTACCTGCATACTTTGAAGGGCTGATACCTGAAGGTGAGGCCTCTAACTGCAGGTATATTTAGGGGTTGGCTGTGATCCTCCCCCAGAGACAGGAAAGCTAGCAGACACCTTCCCTGCCCTCTCCCTCCAACCCACTCCAACAGTAAAACCAAGTCACTAGTATCTCCCTGGAAGAAGTCTGTATAAATGACTGACACCTTAGCTTCTGCAGTTGCTGCCCAAGGGGCTAGGTCTCCACATTGCCTGGCTCTGAGAGCCAGTGGGGCTTGCATTTACAAGTTCCACAGGATTAGCAAAGAAAGAAACAGTTTTTAATGGATACAGGAGCACACTTCCCTCCTCACCCGCACCCCGCCCCAGCTATATCCCACACTGATTATGAGACCCACATTAATTATAAAATTGTCAAAAGTTAAAGACAAGGAGAGAATCTTAAGAGCAACAGGGGTAAAGCAACTAGTTATGTACAAGTGAACTCACAGAACAGTATCAGCAAGTTTTTCAGCAGAAACTTTCAGGTCAGAAGAGAGTGGCATGATATATTCAAAGTGCTGAAATTAAAAACAAACAAACAAACTACTCATAAAAGTTGCTCTTCAGAATTGAAGGAGAGAGTTTTCTAGACAAACAAGAGCTAAAGAGTTCATCACTACTACACTGGTCTTACGAGAACTGTTAGAGTTCTTCAAACAGAAGCAAAAGGATGCTAATTACTAACAGGAAAACACAAAAGTATAAAATTCAAAAGTAAATATACGGTTCCATTCAGAATACTTTAATGTTGAAATCATGGTGGGTAAATCACTTATAACTCTAATATAAGAATTAAAAGAAAAATATTATAATAACTTTATAATAATTAATGGATACACAGTATAAAAAAGGTAAATTGTGACATCAAAAATAAAATGTGGAGAGAAGATAAAAAAGTAGAGCCTTTGTATGTGTTTGAAGTTAAGCTGTCATCAGCTTAAAATAGACTTACGTTTTATGTGTGCCTCATGGTGATAACCAATGGTAGATACACACACAATAAAGAGAACAGAATCACATCATAACTTTACAGAAAGCTATCAAATCACAAAGGAAGAGAGCAAGAGAGGAACAAAGGAACAAAGGAATTACAACCACCAGAAAATAATGAACAAAATAGCAACAGTAAGTTCATACCTATCAGTAATTACTTTAAATGTAAATGGGACTAAATTCTCCAATCAAAAGACATACAGTGACTGAAT